TGATTTTCCTATTAGCCTAAATAATTTTTGCGAACCGCTTCTTGAAAATATTCAGATTTTTGGCAATTTACCTTTTGAAATGTTGTGAGATGTTGCTTCTTGTAGTGGATGATGGCGAATAAAACGTTCCTCAATTAAAGCTTGATATTGAAATTTATCATTAAATTATAATGAATAATCAATCAATGAATTGTTCGAATAAATTTCATCCATACTTTGAGCAATTCGTATTCCGTTGAAGCTTTGTAAATTGTGTTCTATTTTTTTAGTAGAATTACAAAAGAATAGGAATAAATAGAAGATGAAGTGAATTTTAAAACAGAAAATTGATATTAGAAAGGAATTTAGATGTTACAAAATTGAAAATAAAAATAAATAGTTCCAAAATTGAGGAAAATAAAACAATGGGAAAAATAATGAATTTTGAAAATCAGAGAGGATTTATAAGAGAAGCCTTAAGATACTATTGGTTTTAAAATAGATTCATCTACTGTATATTATTTATTTATTTATTTTCCAAATTATCTCTTATAAAGAAAAATGACAACTAATTTAGGATAATTTAGTAAATTAAAATAAATAAATCAATCTTCAAAAATGAATAAATTAAAATTTTAATAAATCTTCTCTTTACAATATGTCACTTGTGGTTAATTTCTTCTGATTAAAAGGCAACTTTTATACTACTCTAAGTAACTCCTCAAGTCAAGTCATGTACCATTTTTTGCTTTTTTTTTCTCTTTCTTTTTTTTTTTAATTGTGTTTTGTCAAGGCTAGTTGTATACCAAACTTTAGGATAGTTGGTGATAGTGTTAATTTTTATAGTATTTTTTTTGTAATTTTTACTAAGATTTCTAGTATTTTTAATTTATTTAAATTAGTTTTTATGTATTGGTTTTTTTTACAAACTTTAGATGTTCATACTTCACCCTTACTATTATATATATTTACAATTATTTTCCAACATTATCTCTTATAAAGAAAAATGACACATACTTTAGGATAATTTAGTAATTAAAATAAATAATCAATCTTCCAAAAATGAAATAATTTAAAATGTACATGGCTTTATAACGACTTATTAAAACTACTACTCTTATACAATATGTCACTTGGGTGGTTAATTTCTTTCTGATTAAACAGACGCACACTAGTTTATACCTACTGCTAAACGACTATATACTCTTCCAATACAGGTCAACGTCACTGTATACCACTTTTTGCTTTTTTTTTCTCCTTTAACTTACTTAGAATTTTTTTATTACATTGTGTTTTGTCAAGGCTAGTTGTATACGCAAACTTAAGGATAGTTATTGTGTGATTGACGTGGTTTGTTAATTCTTTTTGATGAACTATTTTTGTTTTATTTGTATGTTTAGTACATACTTGCTTTAACGCTACACGGGATTATTCTATTATGGAGTGTAGTATTATGACTTAGTTATTGACAATGTAGAACGTTTTACTAACATGTAGACTGTACATTGGTACTACAGTGTGCTTTTTAACTATTTAAAACTTTCCCTTTGAAAAGACACAACTCACTTGGAGTACATGGAGAATAGGCATTTTACTAAGGATTTTTGGGCAAGACAAAGGGACCAAAATACTGAACGGCACTAAAAATCATGATATATTTTCACGGCACAGCCATTCCCGGGATGCTCATCAGCAGCGCCGTGCGTAAGTGACGCAACGGCAGAACAACACAGCAAAAGACGTTTAAGAGGTGCGCGTCATGCCGCTTCCACGACTTCCCATGCCTGAGGCGTCATGGTGCGCCCGTGCCACAATGGAGCCTTTTTATTTTATAGACTTCAAAGGAAGCCACGCCCGCTAAAGTTCGTGCTTAAGGCGTCACGCCCGTGCCAGCCATTGAACGTACAGCAATTCCCTGGGCCTGCTGCACGGGAAGCACGCCGGCACGGTTGCTTTAACATTTCGTCGGCGTTTCACTATGACCTTGTCCAGAAGCATAGGTCACTCCCAGGGCCGATGCTATGGCGCATTACGCACCATGAAATCACCCAAAACGACCTCCTCGAGCGTTGCTCAGAACACCACACAGCCCGTGCTGAACAGCGCCACGACCTTCCAGAGCCTGGCGAGCAGCCTAGACGCTTTGACAATTCGCATTATCTGAGAGACACAAACCGCACACGCTTCGGGCCGCCCTCAACCGTGGGGGCGCGCCACGCGGCGGGGCCCCCGGGGACCCACCCACAAGCGGAAGCGGGCAGCACGAGGGCCTGCTGTCGCGCCCCCACCCCCCCGCCCGTTGCCAAACCAATGGATCCTGAATTGAGTCAAAGTTGCCACTAAATTCCTACCTTTTTTCACAGCCCACTTTGGACTACTTTCTTCACATGCCAGTCAAAGCTTCAACATAGCACATGGAAACGCGCCATAATTGACGAGAAATTATGAGCTTGATATTTAGAGCTTTCTCCACCTAACACAGAGTTCGAACTTTATTCACTTAACAAACATGTGGACTTGCTCCCCCAAGAAGTCTAATATAGACTCAAGAAGAAAAAAGAGAAACACTCCATTGATATACGCAGGATACTAGTTGACCATAATCATCTTACCTACCCATCTATACATCTATACTCTTATACGGGTCCCTTTGTTATATAAGTATTTTACATACTTCTCATTTTTACGACAGTTAATCACTTTATCAAGTAAAGTTTGTGCAAGGTTTCAAAGGGCAACGCCCATCCACAGCCATTAGTTACTAAGTATTCTTATTTCTATAAAATCTCTTATACGAATACTTGTTTATTTATCTTTCACTTATATTCTTTGATATATGAAATACTTATCAGATTATTGAGTTTTAATTTAAGTGCCATGTCTAACTAAATCTTATCCTAACGGGTTTGATGTAGCTTTAATTCTCTTTTCGCAATTTAATGATCATATTAGATTTAGATTTTTCCTTATTTGTGCATAGTTTAGTGATCTTTATTGATAAACTTACATGCTTCATGCACGAGGTTTCCCTCTTGCATTTGATTTATTTGCAAGGTATTCACTAGTCGGAATTAAGAGGAAGAGATCACTGTCGATGATCGAAAGAGTGTTGACTATAAAGACATCCATGAGAATGCACAAAACTAGTAGAATTGCACGAGGAAGGCTACTATGCAAATTTAGTACTCATGGAGTGGGTTTTTCGCCATATGATTTCTTTCTAACAGTAAATTGATGTAACATTCAGTAACAAGTACCTATCATACACTTAATGATATTAAATGGTGAGCGATATTATGATGTGGTGCAGGCACATCACATACGTGCAAATTGATTAGGTAATTTAAATGCTAGAAGTATACACAAACACATTCATTATATTATCTAAGCTCTAGGGACTAAATAGAGACGCTGCTACATGAGAAAGATGTGCCTCTTTGTGTTGGTTTAGTTAAAATACATAAGGGCTTGGTCAGTAGTTCTCTGATATCTTCTTCTCTATCCACCAATACTTTTGAACACTAATGATCTCTTTGGAATGATTTGAGACGCTTTACTAATATTGACAACCTACTAATGATACAAGTTAGAATTTTTAGTAAGTAGGCGCATTCATCGAGAGTTTGATAAACAGTCAAAACACCTAAGTTAGTTGTTGCAATTTCCGCTTAAATCTATCAATTTAATTCAACATTCTTCTGCTTATTACAGCTAGGATTATAGTTTGCTTATTTATTCAATTATACATTGTGAATCAAATTCTCATTTATACGTCTAAACTAATAATGAGATAAAAATTTTGGTAACGCTTGGAATATCGATGTCCTGTTTCGTGGGAAGCCCGGATACTTTACTCATCAATTTAGTAAGTTAGCTATCGATTTGCTGAGGCGGAGGGATGTACGGGACAACATGTTCGCGAACAATTGATAAGGGCTGTCACGAGGTTGTTTGGGGTTCGCTCGGCGCGAGGTCGTCAGGCCCCAATGGGGGGGGATCTGGGGGACAATACGCAAATTAATCACGAACTCTACATAATTAATCGCCCTTTTGATTCGATGATTGGATTTAATTTGAGGGGGTACGTACGTTGTAAGGTTATGATTGTTTGTTTATTTGTCATTGTTTATGTATGGCCCCTCTGGGGGGATATGGCATACCTTCAACGCGGGTTTGTTTTTATTGGCGCTCTAAAGAAGACATCACGCGAAGTAAAACTGGAATAAGGGCGAACTTGGCATCTTCTTTGGGGATCCAAATCAGGTGGTTCGACTAGGAGACAAGCGACTGAGTCCGTATGGATTGCGAAATAAGCTGTCAAGTTTTTGGCGCCGTTGCCGGGGATTGGCAATACCAATATCAATACAAATTATCTTGTTATTAATTTAGACATTTATTTGTTTTTATTCATTTAATTTTTCTGGAGAATACCTCAGGTTTTTATGCAAAGAAGATCAGGAAGAACTGAAGGCCCTGATCTTGGATCCAAAAGTTGAGAAAACCTATCGTAGAAACAACGCAGCTAGGAGAGCACGAGAAATCAGACAAGAACAGCAAGTAAACATGGACGAAATCAATCCCCAACCTCAGAACATACCTCTTGCTGTAAATCCTCAGATCAGACATCAACCAAACGTCCGCACATTGCGGGATTATACCACACCTTCTCTTAATGGAGCTACCTCAAGTATCACTAGACCAAGAGTGGAAGCGAATAACTTTGAAATTAAACCAGCAATTATTCAGATGCTTTCCACTTTGATTCAATATGGAGGTCTCCCAGCGAAGATCCCAAAGCTCACATCACAAATTTCCTGGAGATTTGTGATACTTTTAAACAAAATGGTGTTTCTGAAGATGCCATTAAATTAAGACTCTTTCCTTTTACTCTTAGGGATAAAACATGTTCTTGGTTGCAATCATGTCCCACTGGAAGTTTTACAACTTGGGAAGAGTTAGCCCAGAAATTTTTAGCTAAATTCTTTCCATCTTCTAAAACAACAAAATTGAGAAATGAGATCATGGCCTTCATTCATCATGATCAAGAAAGCTTATATGAAGCATGGGAAAGATTTAAAGATTTATTGAGAAAATTTCCTCATCATAGTTTGCCTAAATGGTTACAAGTCCAAACTTTCTATAATGCTTTTTCACCTAACATTAAGATTGCTCATGATGCAGCTGCAGGAGGATCTTTCGAAAGAAAGGAAATCGATGAGGCATATGATTTGATAGAAGAAATGGCAACCAACAGCCATTATCAAAGCAGTTCTGAAAGGAGAAAAACTGCAGGGATCAATGAAATCGATGCCATCAGTGCACTCAATGCAAAGGTAGACAATATGGTAAGAAAACTAGACTTACTAACCACTAAATCTGTGAACTCCATCATGCAAACTTGTGATAGATGCAACGAACCACATGGAATTGGAGAATGCATGCTAGATTCTGCAAATCCACAGACTTTAGAGCAAGTGAACTACATGATGAACCAAGGGAGGAGGAATTACCCATACTCGAATCCTTACGACAACAATTTGAGAAATCATCCTAATCTTTCATATGGTAATTCTAATAATACCTTGAATGCAACACCAGGTTTCTTGCCTCCGGAAAAAAAGTCTCATGATGACCTCCTCACTGCTCTTTCAAAATCACACATGGATTTTATGAATGAGACAAGAGAACACAATAAAATCCAACAAGCTGCGATAAGAAATCTGGAGATCCAAATGGGACAGTTTGCGAATATGATGGCAGCTCGACCTCAAGGTACGTTACCTAGTAACACTGAGAAAAATCCTAAAGAACAAGTACAAGCCATCACCTTGGGAAGTGGCAGACAGTTGGAGGATAAGCCCAGAAAGGAGAAAGAGAAGGAAGAAGAGAGAAAGGCACCTATCATTGATCTAGTGGAAAAGGAAGAAGTGAAACCTTATGTTCCACCCGTCCCATTTCCACAAAGGTTAAAAAAGACACAGGATGATAAGAGCTTCATGAAATTTCTTGACGTCTTCAAGAAGCTTCAAATAAACATTCCTTTTGCTGAAGCTCTTACTCAGATGCCCAGCTATGCAAAGTTCTTGAAGGAAATCTTGAGCAAGAAAAGAAAGATTGATGATCAGGGAATGGCGAAACTGATAGAGGAATGCAGTGCAATTATTCAAAATAAATTGCCTCCTAAACGAGCAGAAAGAAAGATTGATGATCAGGGCACATGGCAGAAACTGGATTAGGGAATGCAGTGAATTAATTCAAAAATAATATGCGCTCCATAAACTTCAAGGAATCATAGGGGTTTTTCATCATTCCTATGTAATACTTGGCAATTTAGAAATCTTGAAAGGCTTTAGCCCGATTTAGGAGTAGCATAAATCTTATGTCTATGACAGTTTTTCAAAATGTTAGTTATGGGAGAACTTAGCCAACTAAGATGGTCTCATACAATTGGCGATCGATCAATCAAATACCCAAGGACATTGATAGAAGACGGACTTTGTAAGGTAGGAAAATTCAGTATTTTATACCTGTTGTTATGTTATCCTGTGACATGATGAAGGAGAAGAAGGATCTTTTGGATCTTGGAAAGACCTTTTCTTGCAACTGCAAGGCAGGCACTAATAGATGTCCATGATGAAAAACTAACTTTAAGAGTAGGTCAAGAAGAAGTTGATTTTTGATGTTTTTAAAATCGTGTAAAATTCTCCTTGGGACTGTTAATTAGTTGTTTTTAGATTGATGTTAATTGAATTAAATGTGTAAAGAACACTCTATATAGGAAATTCGATAATAATGACAATAACTCAGAAGAAAAAAAAAGAACACGCACCACCAAAACACCAGAGCTTCGAAGCAGCTCCCTCCTCATTCGGAACAGCATTCGATTTTTAGGTGAGCAACAAACTCCTTTTCCTGTTATTTTTCTTCTCCTTCTCACCTAACATGTGATCAAGAAGAAAAGTTACTGCAGGTTCTGCAGAAACATAGAAAAGCTTTAGGATGGTCAATTTCTGACTTGCAGGGGATAAGTCCAAGATATGTATGCACAAGATCCTGATGGAAGACGACTGCAAACCTTCCATTGAACATCAACGAAGATTGAATCCCAACATGAAGGAAGTAGTCAAGGCTGAAATCATTAAACTCTTGGACGCCGGCATCATCTACCCAATTTCTAATAGTAGTTGGGTAAGCCCTGTCCAAGTAGTTCCAAAGAAGGGAGGTATGACAGTCGTGACTAACGAAAATAATGAATTAATTCCTACAAGAACTATCACAGGTTGGCGTGTATGCATTGATTATAGAAAATTGAACAAAGCAACACGCAAGGATCATCACGCAAGGATCAGTTCCCCTTCTCCTTTAATTGACCCAAATGCTTTGAGAGAGGCTTGCAGGTTATCCATTACTATTGCATTTCTCATCATGGAATTACTCAGGGGTATTTTTTCACGAGTACCTATTCGCTTTGGAGGACCCATGAGAAAAACCACTTTCACTTGCCTTACCGGTACCTTTGCACTATTAGGGAGAATGCCTTTAGGTTTATGCAATTGCTCCTGCCAACTTTTCAAAGATGCGTTGATGTCCATTTTTTTCTGACGATGGTTGAAAAATTTCATAGAAGTTTTTCCATGGATGATTTTTCGTGTTTGGTTCTTCTGCTTGATTCCATGCCTCTTTACACCTCATCACTAGTATGCAAAAAGATGTGGGAAGACACTAACCTTGTTTTGAACTGGAAAAATGCCATTTTATGGTTAGTGAAGGAAATTGTTTTGGCCACAAATTCTCACAAAGGGGATTGAAGTGGACAGGCAAGGTGGAGTGATTGAAGCTACCTCCTCCAAAACTCAGTAAAGGGGAGAGATGAGAAGCTTCCTTGGCCATTGCTGTTTTTTTTATAGGAGATTCATTCAAGGATTTCTCAAAATTCACTAAAGTCTTTTGTAATTTGCTTGTTAAGGATGTTCCTTTTAATTTTACGAAGAGGGTTTATTGCATTTAATCAGATTGAAAAGGACGTTGACATCCGCCACCGCGATTTATTTCCTTACACAGATTGAGTCATTCCCTTTGAACTATGTGTGATTCTACACCAGATTGGAGTCATCCCTTTGAACTTATGTGTGATGCAAGTGATCATGCCGTAGGAGCTGTTCTCGGGCAAAGAAAAGAAAAGAAATTGCATGTTATTTATTATGCCAGCCGCACACTAAATGACACACAATTAAACTATGCCACTACTGAGAAAGAACTCCTGGCTATTGTTTTTGCTTTTGATAAATTTAGAGCCTATTTAATTGGAGCTAAAAAAATAGTTTACACTGATCACTCTGCTATTAAATATCTGTTAGAGAAGAAAGATGCCAAGCCGAGACTAATCTGTTGGATTCTTCTATTGCAGGAATTTGATTTAGAAATTCGTGACAAGAAGGGAACTGAGAATCTGGTAGCAGATCATTTATCTAGGCTTGAGTTGGGGGAAGAAGAACAAGAAGAACTACAGATCAATGAAGAATTCCCCCATGAACATCTTTTTGTTTTGACTGAGGCTCAAGCTCCTTGGTATGCTGACATCGTCAATTACCTGGCTTGCAAAATCCTTCCCCCCAATTTATCGTATCAACAAAAGAAAAAATTCTTTCATGATCTTAAATATTAGTATTGGGAGGAACCGTTTTTGTTCAAGTATTGTAGTGACCAGCTCTTCCGATGATGCATACTAGAAGAAGAAATAGAAAGTGTTCTTCGTTTCTGTCACTCAATGGAGTGTGGAGGACACTTTGGAGCAAACAAGACGGCAGCATGTATCTTGGAAAGTGGTTTGTATTGGCCTAATTTATTTAAGGATGCTTTTAACTTTGTTCGTCTTTGTGACAGATGTCAGAGGTTAGGCAACATCTCAAAGCGACATCTTGAACCAATATCTTGCAAGTAGAGATCATTTTGAATGTTTGGGGTTTTTGAGATTTTCATGGACCTTTTTTCCCTTCATTCTTACTTCCAACCCAATACACTCAAAGCGACATGAGATGCCCTTGAACAATATCCTTGAAGTGGAGATCTTTGATGTTTGGGGTTTAGATTTCATGGGACCTTTTCCCTCATCTTACTTCAACCAATACATTCTGGTAGCAGTGGATTATGTTTCAAAGTGGGCTGAAGCTGTTACCCTTCTAAACAATGACGCTAAAAGTGTGATAAACGTTATCAAGAAATACATTTTCACACGTCATGGCACCCCTAGAGCGATAATCACTGACGAAGGTAAGCATTTTTGCAATAAATACTTAGATTCCCCCCTTTGAAAATATGGGATTACTCATCGTGTAGGAACCCCATATCATCCTCAAATAAGCGGACAAGTGGAAGTTACCAATAGAGAAATAAAAAAGATTCTGGAGACTACCATTGGACAATCTAGAAAAGACTAGTCCAAGAAACTTGATGATGCTCTATGGGCTTATAGAACTGCATTCAAAACGCCAATTGGTATGTCTCCATATCGCATGGTCTATGGTAAGGCTTGTCACCTTCTTGTTGAATTAGAACATAAAGCATTTTGGGCCATCTAATTTTTAAATTTCAACACTAAGGAAAGTGGTCAAAAACGGCTTCTTCAGCTAAATATGATGGATGAAATGCGCCTCCATGATTATGAAAATGCCAAAATATATAAGGACCGAACCAAACAATGGCATGATAAGCACATCATTTTGAGGAATCTAAAGGTAGGACAACAAGTGTTGCTATATAGCTCCAGACTCCGTCTTTTTCCTGGTAAGTTACGCTCTAGATGGTCTGGCCCATTTACGATCAATGAGATCTTTCCACATGGGGCTGTCGAAATAGTGGATGGTGACCGGAGTTTCAAAGTTAATGCTCAACGCTTAAAAGTTTATCAAAACAACAACTTTGATCCAGTTAAAAATACCATCCATCTTATTTAACCCAAACCAGGTTAAGTACGTGGAGCTTAACGACGTTAAATAAAAGCACTTATGGGAGACAACCCATTTTCACTTCAATTTTATTGTTTGTTTGTTTGTTTGTTTTATTTAATTTTTCAGGAATAACAAGAAGCTCAAAAGACAGCACGGCCGTGCTTCAAGGAGAAATTTGGAAGTTGAGAGCCAGAGGATAGCACGCCCCAGGCGTGCTCATTAGCACACCCGTGCCATCACTACCTCAAAGGGACAAACGCGCGCACGCCCTAGCCGTGCCAATCCGCATGCCCGAGCGAGGTAAGTGATATTTTTACCCTGTAGGAAAGACATGCGCATGCCCTGGACATGCCATCCAGCACACCCGTGCCCAATATCACCTGAACTTCCAGAGGCGCGCATGCCCCGACCGTGTCAATCCGCACGCCCGTGCCAGGTAAGTCATATTTTTCCTGCAGGAAAGATGCGCACGCCCTGGACCGTGCCATCTAGTACGCCCGTGCCTGCTATCACCTGGACTTCCAGAGGCGTGCACGCCCTGACCGTGCGGATACGCACGGCCGTGCCACGACCAGACAGCACATTAAAATGCGCCCCTATTAAAATGGCACGCCCTAATTCTATTCATTCCCAAGTCGCACGCCCTAGCCGCCCCTCTCTTTTCTCTCATTTTCTTTAATTTTCTCTCATTTTCTCTCACGAAAAGCATCAAAACCCCAAATTTTCTTCAAAATTTATCATCATCATGCCTCCAAGGTACAAACGCAGTAGGCCCGCTTCATCATCATGCCTCCAAGGTACAAACGCAGTAGGCCCGCTTCATTTGTAGCCGCTGGAAGACAATCCACAACACGGTCTTCCACTGCCTCTCCACCCTCTGAAGGTCCACCACTTCCTCCATTTGAGACGGGTTCTTCTGAGCAACTAGAAAGGTATAATAAACTCTCATCATGTCCTATTTTACCAAACAGATTTATAGATGAGAATGCATTATCATAGGTTGGGCTTAGCGATGCTGTGATAGAACCTCTTAGGCATGTGGGGTGGGGAAATTTTATTGAGATGAAAGATCTTGTATATGCTCCTTTAACCTTAGAATTTTTAAGTTCATATTCCTCACTTATTCGATTTCCATCTGAAAGTTTTCCGAATAAGATTACATTTAAATTAATGGGCAGAGATTTTGAACTTTCGGTGAATGAAGTTAGTCACATTTTTGGTTTTCCCACTGAAAACGCGATTACACAAGTACCTGCAGATTATTTGGATTACAGTAGATGGTCTGATTT